CCAGGGATGCTTCTTTGATCAACTCGGGGAGGGGCCTTGTCTGGCAGTGGGTGCTGCACGGCAAGGAGGCACGTCGTAATCAGCTCGGGGGAGGGGCCTCCTCGAGCAGCGGGTGATGCACAATGGAGGGCCCGCAGGCCCTCGGGAGCCTCCCAGGGCCACCGAAGGCCTCCAGAATCCTCCGAAGGCCTCCAAAAATACTTATCATGCTTTTCGAAAACTTCTGGGGCCGAGGACCTCCGAAAGCCTCCCATGGAGCCTTCCGGAAGTCTCCGGGAGCCTCTGGACGCTTTCGAAAGCCTCCGGGAGCTCCGGGGAGCCTCCGAGAGCTTCATAGGGCCTCCGAAAGCTTCCTGGTGGGAAGGGGCCTTGTCTTGTGGTGCACAGTAGAGGGGCACGTCTAGTACCAAGAGTGCTGCTTTAATCAGCTTGGGGGAGGGGCCTCGTCGAGCAGCGGGTGATGGCATGGTGCACAGCCTAGGACCCGCAAGCCCTCGGAGGCATCCTGTGGCCTCCGAGGGCCTCTGGAAGCCTCCGAAGGCCTCCAACACCTTTGAATAATTACCGAAAGTCTTCGGTGACGAGAAGCTCGGAAAGCTTCTGGGAGCCTCCTACGACCTCTGGCCTCCAGGACCTTCCGGAAGCCTCCAGACGCTTTCGAAAGCCTTCGAGAGCTCCCTGGGGAGGGGCCTCGTCCTGCAGCGCGTCAGTACCAAGGATGCTTCTTTAGTCAGCTTGGGAAGGGGCCTCGTCTAGCAGGAGATGATGTACCGCAGAGGGGCACGTCTAGTACCGCGGATGCTTCCTTGATCAACTTGGGGAGTTGCCTTGTCTAGCAGTGGGTAGTGCACAGCAGAGGGGCACGTCTAGTACCAAGTGAGCTTCTTTAAACAGCTTGGGGGGGCCTCGTCGATCAGCGGGTGATACACAACAGAAGGCCCCGCAAGACCTCGGGGGCCTCCTCTTTCTGGAAACCTCCAGGGCCGAGGACCTCCGAAAGCCTCCGGGAGGCTCCGACAGCTGCCGATGGCATCCGTGAGCCTCAGGAGCCTTCCGAAGTCTCTGGGAACCTATGGATGCTTTCGAAAGCCTCCGAGAGCTCCTGGGTACCTCCGAGAGCCTCATAGGGCCTCCGAGGCCTCAAGAAGCTCCCGGGTGCCTCCGAAGGCCTCTTGGGGCCTCGGGGAAGGGTTCAGGAGGTTCTGGAGGCCTCTGGGGGCCTCCGAAAGCTCCGAGGGCTTCTGGAGGCCTCCGAAAACTTCCGGGGGGTCCGAGAACCTCTGGATGCTTCAAATAGTATCCGAAGGCTTAAGCCTCTGAAAGCCTCAGAAGGCGTTTGGGGGCTTCCAAGGGCCTCCAAGGGCCTTCGAGGGCCTCTGAAGGCTCGCGGAAGCTTCCGAAAGCTTCCGCGTGCCTCCGACAGCATCCGAATCCAAGGGTTTCCGAATTCCTCTGGAAGCTTCCAGGGGCCTCTGAAAGCCTCATAAAACCCTCAAGCCCATCAACTAACTGCTCTCCTGAGGAATGCTTTTGGGTGGATCTGGGGGGCCCCCAAGCCGGACCTTCCTCCGCCAAAAACTTAAGGATTTCATTGGGTCCGGAAGACGACCCCCCCAATACCTCCAAAAACCTTTACTGAGGGGACTTCTGTGGGGGTCCGACTGCCTGCGGGAGCCTTCAACAACCTCCGAGAGCTCTGGACCTCCCGTGGGCACCCTTGGGCTGTCCTGGGACCATCGTGGGCGTTCCTGGCCCGTCCTGGGGCGATCTTCGGAAGCTCTTCTGCCTTTTGCAGCCTTGTGGGGCCGTCTCGGGCCGTCTTGGACGCCTGGGAGGGCGGTTATAACAACCGTACCTCACATATTTTGCCTGTGTGCCGGGGGCCCTTGCCAGGGATCTGGGACTCTGGTAGTAGATGCATGTATGTACGTAATTACGTACGTACGTATGTATGTATGTATGCATGCATGCCTGCGTGCCTGCATGCAAACATGTCTGTATACATACATACATGCATGCATGTCTGTCTGTCTGTCAGCCTGTCTGTATGTCGGTATGTATAATTGTATGTATATACGTATGCATGTATGTATGTATGTGTATGTATACATACACGCATGTATGCACGTCTGTATTAATGCATACATGCATGTATGCAGGTATGCATGTATGCATGCACGCATGCATGTATCCATACACAGCCGTAGCTGTACATACATGCATGTATGCATGTATAGGTGAACGCATGCATGCTCGTGTATGCATGTATACATGCATGCACACACACATATATATATATATATATATATATATGCATGCATGCATGCATGTATGAATGCGTGTATCTAGGTGTGTGTGTGTGTGTATGTATGTATGTATGTATGTATGTATGTATGCATGTATGCATGTATGCATGTATGCATGTATGCATGCATGTATGTGAGAGAGCGCGCCCACAGGGCCCGAGCAAAGGGGAGGGGGTGCTAGGCTTAAGCTACCCCCCCCTCCCTTGAGCCGCCCTTGTTGGAAGCCCCCTCCCCCCTCCCCCCATTTTTTTGAAAGGGGGGGGGGGCTTACAGCTACCCCCCCCCTCCCCCCTTGGGCCCTCCGCGGAAACTCCCCCCCCCCTCCCCCCCTTTCCAAAGGGGGGGGGGTGCTTAATCCCCCCCCCTCCCTTGGCGCCGCCCTGCTGGAAACTAACCCCCCCCTCCCCCCCTTTCGTGCAAAGGGGGGAGGGTTCTTGGAAGCTACCCTTTCCAAAGGGAGGGAGGTGCTTAAGCTACCCCCCCCCCTGGGAGCCGCCCTGCTGGAAGCTCCCCCCCCCTCCCCCCCTTTGTGCCAAAGGGGGGGGGGCTTGGAAGCCCCCCCCCTTCCCCCTTTGGCCGCCCAGCCCCCGGAGCCTCCGCCCTCCCTTTCGCCGACGATCCAAAATGAACAATCCACGATCGAGGATGGACGATCGACGATCAACGATCGACGATCGAAAATCCCAATCGAATCGCTTGCAATCGATTGCACTCCATTCCACTGCAATCCCCCTCCCCACCTCCCTCCGCTCCCTCCCCTCCCTCCCCACCCTTCGTTCCATCTCCTCCCTCCCCTCCCTCTCCTCCCCTCCCTCCCTTCCGTCCTGTCCCTCCCCTGCAATCCAATCGATTGAATCGATTGCAATTCAACCGATTGCAATCCAATCGATTGCAATCCAATGGATTGCAATCGAATCGCTTGCAATCGATTGTAACGCAAGTGTATCATTCAACTCGTCCCGTGCCAACGCCCGGGAACGAACGAAGTACTATTACCTATACGACCACCCTTCGGGTGATAAGGAGGTTCGGGGGGGGGGGGGGGAACCAACGTCTCACTCAATCGGTCTCACTATCGATCTCAGTATCGATCTCACTATCGGTCTCGCTCGATCGATCTCACTTGATCGATCTCACTCGATCTATCTCATTCGATCGATCTCACAATTGATCTCACAATCGATCTCACAATCGATCACACAATCGATCTCACATTCGGTCTCAATATCGATCTCACTATCGATATCACAATCGCTTTCACAATCAACGTCATCATCATCATCAACATCATCAACATCAACATCATCACCAACATCGTCATCATCATGATGGCACAATCATCATCATCATCATAAACATCATCATCAACGTCAACACCATAACCGGGACAGCATCATCATCACCATCACCATCATCATCTCATCAGCAACACCATCATCATCATCGGGGCACAGTCATCGTCATCATCATCAGCAGCAACATCAGAATCATCATCATAATCGGGACACCATCATGATCACCATCGTTCTCATCATCAACATTATCATCAACATCGTCATCATCCTCGGGACACCATCATCATGATCATCGCATCATCATCAACAACATCATCATCATTGGGGCACCATCATCATCATGAGCAACATCATCATCAACATCGTCATTATCATTGTTATCATCATCGGGACACCATCAGCATCACCATCATCATGATCACCATCATCATCAGCATCGTCATCGGGACACCATAATCATCATCAGCATCATCATCATCAACATCATTATCGCCGGGACACCAGTTCCATCAACATCATCATCACCAACATCATCGGAATCATCATTATCACGACACCATCATTGTCATCATCATCATCAACATAATCATCATGATCATCATCATCCTCATCATCGGGACACTATCATCATCGACACCATCATCAACATCATCATCTTCATCGGGACACCATCATCATCATCTCATCATCATCATCATCATCATCGTAATCATCATCATCATCATCATCATCATCATCATCATCATCATCATCATCATCATCATTATCTCATCATCATCATCATCATCACCATCACCATCATCATCATCATCATCCTCGCGGGACACCGCGGGACACCGGCGGGACACCGCGGGACACTGCGGGACACCGCGGGACACCGCGGGACACCGCGGGACACCGGCGGGACACCGCGGGGCCCCGGCCGCCAGGAAGGGAATCATTTGGTCCGGCCGCGCCTCAGTCACACGGGACACCAGCGGGACACCGGCGGGACACCGTGGGGCCCCGGCCGCCCGGAAGGGAATCATTGGGTCCGGCCGCGCCTCAGCCACAGGAGAGTTTCTCTCGCCCGCCCACGCAGCTTCGCCTCGCCCGCACGGCACGCACGAACACGAAACCGAAATCGATTTCCCGGTAGGGGGGCTCTCCGCTCCACTTCGATCTCACCCCCCAACCTCCGATGCTATACTCGTGTCGTGGGCAAGTCAGGAATCCACAGTCTACAATCCTGAAGGAGCACAGAAATACTATTCTACTCTCCTCCTCCCTTTGCGACGCCCTCCCCTCGCTCCTCTTCCTGCCCTCCGCGCCCTCCGCCGCCTCCATATCCTCTCCTCTCTCCCCTCCCTCACCTCCCTCCCGTCCATCCCCTCCCTCCCCTCGCTCCGCCCCTCCGCGCCCGTCCGCAAGAGCAGAGCGCTTCTCCGCGCGCGCGGTGGAGCCGTCTTCGCGCTTCATGGTCACCCGCCAGCGCCCGCCCCGCTTAAGCGGAAGAGACTGGCGCTGCGCCCGGTCAGCCATGCCGATGCGGAACCACGCGTCGAACGCGACCGGCTCCCCCTGCAAGCCCTGCGCGCCTAAGCGCGCCTGCCACAGCTGCTCTGCCAAACGGGGCGCCCCGAGCCTGCTCAGCAAGACGTGCACGACCGCTTTAGGAGGCAGTGCGTTGTCCTGGGCCCGCCGCAAGGTCCCGCCCAAGAACGACGCCAATACGGCGCTCGCGTCGACATTGGTGGCCAGCCGATCGCCCTGGATGAACTTCTGCAACGCCTCCAAAGGAGTGGCCACCTGACAGCCAGCGGCGCGAATCGCCTGCGCCCGAGCTCCAGCGCGCCCTGCTTGCACAGAGAACAGATCCGCAGCCGTCGGGTTGAACCGACCGAACAACGCCTTCAAGGCATAAGCGGCCTGCGGGAAATCGGCAGAGCACCTCGCCAAAGCGTCCTCCAACCGCCACTGCGCGTGCTTGACGTCTATCGCCCGAAAAAAATCTCCGCTACCTGCCGGTCGTAATTCACCTGTACCCCGCCCGCGTGCGCGAGCGTGTGGCAAATGGCTTCGATGCCGCGCGTGGTTCCCGCGAAGCGGCGCTCCGTGCAGTCATCCACCGTGCCCAGGGGGACAGCCTGCGGGTCCTTCGACCGCAGAATGTGAACGACGAAAACCGCTATCGCCATTATGTCGACCATAGTCTCCGAAAACGCCAGGACTGGAGGAAGCAATGGGATGTCGAACAAGCCGTGACACGCCAAGGCGCAGCGAACGCGGCAGCCCCCACTTTGACCGGGCTGCCCGCGGCACTCCTGCAGTGGAGCGCTGCTGCCGTCGAATGTGGGCAGCCACGCAGAAGGACAACACCACCATGTGGATGTCGTCTTCAACTCGGGCCGCGTCCGTCTCCTGGAAGATCTTGACGACCACGTTCGCCAACCAGCGTGACTGCGGCACCCGCGCCAAGACCGCGCACGTGAGCGCGGCTTCGACGTCCTGACGCTCTGCTGCAACCAATGTCCGAAGTGCTTCGCGAGCTCCTGCAAGCAACCGGCGCGCATGCCAAAACCGGAGTCGAGACGTGCTTTAATGGGCCCGCAACTCGCTGCGCAAGCTGTCCGCGAGCCCGCGCGCCACGAGACGCGCGCCAGAAACATCCACAGGCCAGTTTGCCTTGGCGCGCACAGGTAACGCCGACTCGAACTCGGACGAGGTCGCCGACTCATTCCACGAACACTTTGTCCGACTGCCACACCTCGGCCTCGGCGTCAGCGCCCGAAACAGCGTGTCCTCTGCGAGCCCCGGGGAGTCGCCAATGGCAGGCGCACCTTCTTGATGTAGCACGCTCCTTTGCATTTCGGGCAGCGGGCGGCGCTGACCGGTAGAACGCCCCCGGACTCGCTCCGCCACCACATCGGGCGAGCGGGGGCGCGTTGGCAAAATGCTCGCAGCCCCCCTCGGAGACAGCGCAAAGCCCTCCTCGCGTAACCCACGGATCATGGCGGCTACAGTGACCGCGTCGGGCGCCTGTGTTGTGGGGCCCGCTGCTTCTCGCTCTACCATAACGTAGCACGAGTTCGCCCACTTCAGTGACAAATCCTTCTTCGCGGCGATCCGCGGCACAAGATGTGCGCCGAGACCAGCGAGGCGCCCCTCTGACGCCGACTCCACCCGCGGGGACTGACGCTTAAAACGCCAGCGCGCGGTCGCCGCAGCCGCGCCCCCATGCCGTGAACATCCCTCTACTTTCTCCACTGGTAACGCAGAGAGGCGCGCGCTGGCATCGCGGGCCGTCCAAGTCGCCGTGGCCACTGCGAAGTTGCCTTGCTGGTCCTTGACCAGGGCGCCCTCCGCGAAGAAACTCTCCGCCGCGGCAGGCCCGCTGGCCGCGGCAGCAGAAGCCGGCGATGCCGCAGGGGCAGATGCCATGGGGGCAGCGAAACGCTCGGCCACCGCGGAACGCCCGCCGCTCGGCTGCGCGCGCCCGCGAGGGCAGCTGCAGCCCGCCCAGTTGCGCGCCCTGGAGAGCGCGAGCTGTGCGAGGTCTTCACAGAGCTGATGTCGCAAGGGGGCATGAATGGGTTGAGCTACAAGTGACCCCGTTGCGGCGTCAGCAGGAGCCTCTGCTATGTGCCATCTGGAATGGCGCGACCAGAGGCGGAGCGCCGATTGCGCGCCTGGGCCGCGCGTTGTCGGTCGCCCCACGACCCTGATGACCGCGGGCGGGTCGGCGGCAAACTGTTGTGGGATATGCAGAGGTGGGGAATGTAGTTTCCACATGCGCCTGCGGATTCCCGCAGCCAAGCCTTCAGCCTGCCAGGCCTTAGGAAACAAATTGTTGCACGGCGCCCTTCTGGAGGCAGCGAAGACCAACGGAAAGCCGTTGGAGACGCCGTCAGTTCGCCGTCGCGGATGGCCCTCGTCGCCACGGTTGGACGCAGCGCGAAAATCGGACGCTGGTGAACCCCTGGGCGGGGTCCACAGACTGATTTCCATGAAGTTTGGCAGCGTAGGTGTCTCAATGACTCATTTCATGACGCAGACCTATTTCCCTGGCCCCGTGGGCCGATGGGGCCGCGGAGCCCCGCGGGGCCATTTTGAGCGAATGGTACTTTCAGCTCCACTTGGGGGTGGCGTGTTTTGGGGGGGCGAAAGTTGAGCGCGCTTGCTGGTGCGAGTTGTTTTTTTTCTTGTTTCTCGGAAGGCCGCCTGCGCCTGTGATTTCCCCCCCGCAAGCTTCGCCCATGCGGCAGTTGAAAACCCCTCGACCTCGCTCTGCGTTGGCTTTAACTTGTGTCTGAAGCGGTTGGGGTCTGGCCGCGCGATTATCGGCAACTTTTATCTCTAACTACTTCCCTGGGCCACCCCAAAAAATCCGATTCGCATTGATTTTTTTTTTTCGGGTCGCCAGGCCCCCCCTTCCTCCCGACGCTAGAAATGTTTGGAACAAATGCAAAGAAAACGAATCTCTTCACAAACCCAAGGAATGCGCCCCTGAAGGCAGGTCAAGATGACTCCCCCTGCGCCCAATGCCAGTCCCAAAATGGTCCGAAGACTGCCACAAGCTAGCCCAACATGACAGTGTATGGCTTAAGGCATCACAAGAAAGCATCGACATGGTCTGCAGGCGGTCCAAAACGACCCAAGATGGGCCCAAAATGGCTCTACGCGGGTTCCGGAACGGCCCTCAACGCCCCAATGAAATCGCAGAGGCTCCGCGAGAGTTCCCCCGCGAGCCCATGGGAAACTCAAATCCTTCCAAAAAACAAAGAGAAAACGTTGAATTATTGCTCCCCCGCCGCCTCGCTGACGATAATCCTCTGTGATTCCAGCATGGACCTCAGACGGTCCCACAAAATTCCAAAAGGAACTCCGCGCGCCCCGAGAGGCCCCCACGGGGCGTCCAAGAAACCCCCGGAATCTCCGAGAGGCCCCCAAGAAGCCTCCACGAAGGCGTTAGAGGAGGACCCCCAGAAGCTCCCAACAGGCTCCAGAATGGCCCCAAAAAGGTTCCACGAGCGCCAGAAGACGCCCGCAAGAGCCTCCCAATACGGTCTCTGGAGGTCCCCAGGAGGGTCAAAGGTTCCAAGACTTTCGTCGGGAGGGCGGGGGGGGCCGGCGACCTGTAAAAACACATGATGTTCTCACCCTTTTCAGGTGGCCAGGGGGGGCGTTGGAAAAACATCTTGGCGCCCACAGGCCCCCAAGAAAGGAGCCCAAAAAGGCCCCAGGAGGCCCCGCGATGGCCCAAGAAGCCCCGAAAGCACCGAACAAGGCTGCAAGATATCGCAAGAGAGCCCAACGCGGCGATCACAAGGTCTCAAGATGGCCCCATGATGGCTCCAAGGTGGAGGAGCAACAGGAGGGAGGGAGAGTAGTAGGGATGCGGAATATGCGCAATTACGCCAGGCTGCCCTCCACAAATTTCGACCACACATCGCATCAATTGCAATTCAACCGATCGCAATCCAATCTATTGCAATGCAGACGAATCCGATCCTATCAAATGCAATCCATTGCAATGTAATCCCCCTCCACAATTACTCAATACGAGTACTACTTTCCCGCTTCCCCCGATGGCGGCCTGAAAGTAGCCGACCCCCCCCCCCCCGCGTTTTTTTTTTTTTTTTTTTTTTTTTTTTTTTTTTTTTTTTTTTTTTTTTTTTTTTTTTTTTTTTTTTTTTTTTTTTTTTTTTATATAATTTTTAAAAAACATATATTATACATATATATATATATATATATATATATATATATATATATATATATATATATATATATATATATATATATATAAAATATATATATATATATATATATATATATATATATAAACACAAGATTCCCGGGAGTTGGGTTTTCGCCTGCGTTTTTTTTGTTTTTTTTTGTTTGTTTTGTTTTTTTTTTGTTCTCTCAAAATGCTGCTCTCGCTGAGGCGCCGGCCTCATTTTTGCTCCCGAATCGTTCCGAATCGTGCTCCCGCTGCAGCGTGGGCCTCATTTTCGGATCGGTGTTTGGCCTCCGTCGTTCAGGATGGCGTTCTCGCCCCAGCGCGGGCCTCTTTCTCGCGCGCCCATCCGCCCGCCACCACCGCGCCGCCGCCACCACCACCACCACCACCACCACCACCACCACCACCACCACCACCACCAGCACCAGCACCAGCACCAGCACCAGCACCAGCACCAGCACCAGCACCAGCACCAGCACCAGCACCAGCACCAGCCAGCACCAGCACCAGCACCACCACACCACCACACACCACGCACGCACGCACGCACGCGCACCACCACCCACTATGCACGCGCGCGCGGAGCCACAGGTCCGCTACGACACGCGTCCGCGGTAGAGAAAATCAGCGCCATGGTAAGGGATGGGAGGGAGGGGTAGGACGTCAGATATGACGCGAGCGCACCTAGCTTGTCCACCTCTCCCCTCCCTCCCCTCCATCCCCTCCCTCCCCTGACTCTCCTCCGTCCCTCCCCTCCCTTCCCTCCATCCCTCCCCTCCCTCCTGTCCCTCCCTTGGATTCAAATTGATTTTAATCAAATCGATTGCACTTCAACCGATTGCAATCGCAAGTCCAATCCATTGCCATACAATCCTCCTCCCTCCCTCCTCTCACCTCCCCCACACGAGCCAAAGAGGAAAAGGGGGGGGGGGGTTTCAAGCCCTCCCCCTTTGCACCAAGGGAGGGAGGGGGGGGAGCTTCCAAAGCCCCCCCCCCCATTTCAAAGGGGGGGGTGGCTCACCCCAGCTCCATTAAAAGGAGGGAGGGGGGGTAGCTTGGAAGCCCCCCCCCCCCCTTTACCGGCCACGAAAAGAGGGGGAGGGGGGGGGTAGCTTCCGAAGCCCCCCCCCATTTCAAAGGGGGGGGGGGTTGGCTCACCCCGGCTCAATTAAAGTGAGGGAGCTTGGAAGCCCCCCACCCCTCTTTTCCGGCCACGAAAAGGAGGGGAGGGGGGGGAGCTTCCGAAGCCCCCCCCCTTTAGGAAGGAAGGGGGGAGGGGGGTAGCCTCAAGCTGGGGCCCCCCTTCTAGTCTGTCGGGCCCCACGAGCGCGGTCTATCGTATGTATGTGTGTATGTGTGTATGTGTGTATGTGTGTATGTATGTATGTATGTATGTATGTCTGTCTGTCTGTCTGTATGTATGTACGTATGTATGTATGTATGTATGTATGTATGCATATATATATATATATATATGGATGCATGTATGTATGTGTGCGAACATGTATGCATGCATGCATGTGTGTATGTATGTATGTACAGATGTATGTATGCATGCATGTATGTATGTAAGTTTTCATGACTGCATGCGTGCATGCATGTATGTATGTATGCATGTGTATTTGTTTGTATGCATGTATGTATGTATGTATGCATGAATGCATGCATGTATGTATGTGTGTGTATGTATGTGTATATATATATGTATGTATGTATGCATGTATATATGATTGTACTTATGTATGTATGAATGTATAAAGGTATGTATGGTTGTACGTATGTATGTATGCATGTACATACATACATATCTATGCATATGTGTATGTATGTCTGTGTGCATGCAAGTAGGTATACACGATGTATGTATGTATGCGTGTGCGCATCTATAATACATACATACATACATACATACAAACATACATACAGACATACCTATATATATGTATATATATACATATATATATATATATATATATATATATATATATATGCATTTATATATCTATATATATGTATAACAATTGTTCTCCACGTCGGCGGGCGGGGCCGAGAGCGGGGAACACGAGGGTTTGAGGTCCCTCTGGGTCCAGACCTGGCCAGAAACGGTGCGCTCCCCCAAGCGCCGACCGCAACATTAGAATCTGTTATTTACCGACCGAAGGATCGGTCGACGCCCAGATGACCAGCCCTGGAAACCCCGAATCCAAACATAATGGCGTCTCACTTATATGTCCGTCTTCCGCCGCTGGCGCTGCCGCCGTTTGAATTCTGCAGGCCACCGAGGGCGAGAATGCGCCGAACGCGAAGCCCTATCTGGGACGCCCCATGGTAAGGACACGTGCAGCCGAATATGCAAATACCGACATGGCGCACCCGCACAGAATCTCCAGATACCTTCAAAGAAATCTTGCCGACAAAGCACGCCCTGTCGTACCGCCATCAGATTCCCAAGGCTAGGACGCCCGAAATGGAGACGGAGAAATGGGTATGATGACCAGCAACAGGTGTTATCCAAAACCGACAGCGGTCGCTGTTGGGCAAGCGGTTTTCTGTGTCAAATTTGCGACGTCCGCGGCGACGCCGACAACGAACCCTGTTCATAATGAGCAGTAACTGCTGTCGGTCTTCGTGTCTAGCCAGCGAGCGAGCATCCCCGGGCGGCCGGCAGCCGCTTCCTTGACCGGGGTGGGCTGCTCCTTGGGCTCTGGCTTCGCCGCCTGCGGGAAGGGGGGGCCGCGAGCAGACCTCTCAGGAAGGCGCAGGCGCAACTGAGAGGGACGCAGCGGCGCGCGGCGTCCGAGAATGCGTCGCGGGGGTGCTCCTGAACGCCCGCGGGGGTGCTCCTGAACGCCCTTGGAGGCCCCACGGCGAGGGCGGTGTCACGCAACGTGGTGCCCTTGACAAGAAATGAACGCAGGACCAAGGGACATTCTCTCCTCCTTCTTTTTGACGTTGTACGAACTCCACTGAAGCTTTCGGTGGGAAGAGAAACCGCGCGAAGATGCCGACATAGGCCTAGAGGCCAACCAATTGTCGAACAGGCACAGCGGATCAAGAACGGCGCTGGAGGTCCGAGTATGCGCCTGCCAGATGCTCCTCCTCTTCCTCCTCTTCCTTGCGTGCGAGGTGGGCAGTGGCCTGCAGCTCCGCTCCCCTCGCTTCCTATCCCCTCTCCCCTCCCCCCTCGCCCCTCGTCCTCCTCCTCCTCCTCCTTCGCCTCCTTCTCCTCCGCCCATCCTTCACTCCTCCTCCTCCTCCTCCTCCTCCTCCTCCTCCTCCTCCCTCTTCCCATCGACCTCCTCCTCCTGCTCCTCTTCCTCCTCCTCTTCTTCCTCTTGCTCTTCCTCCTCTTCCTCCTCCTGATCCTCGATACCTTTTCCTTATAAATAACGCCTCCCTACCGCACACTGAGAAATATTGGTCGGGCGGGCTTGGCGTTGCGCCAGGGACTTCCACACCACTTATAACTCTTTAGCCGAGAATGTGCAACAGCCTGACGGATGGAAGGTGGGCGATTCTCAAAATGAGAATCCCGCCTTAGCGCCGCGCACATTCGTCTTAAACATTGGCAAGAGTTTCACGAATGGAGGGCGGGCCGTTTTCAAAATGATGCTCGCGCAGCGTTTTGCGGGTGGAGGGCGGGCGGATTTCAAAATGTGGCTCTCGCCTGAACGCCGAGCACATTCGTCGTAAATTATCCGGGCGAAGGACCCCACCATATGCAGCTCAGGATACCGTCGTTGTATATATCGCTCTCGGCGGAGCTCCCTCCTGTGGGGCCACGAAGCGTGTGAGGTGTGTGTGTGTGTGCCGAAATGGAAGCGGCGGTGCCATGCGGACCCTGCCACTGGGGCCTAGGGCGGAGCCCTCTATGGGGCCACGAATCGGGGGAAGGGTGTGCCGAAATGCAGGCGGCGGTGCCATGCGAACTCTGCCACTGGGGCCTTCGGCGGAGCCCCCTGTGGAGCCACGAAAAATGTGAGAGGTGTGCCAAAATGGAAGCGGCGGTGCCATGCGAACCCTGCCACTGGGGCCTTCGGAAGAGCTCCTTTTGGGGCCACGAAGCGTGTGAGGGGTGTGCCGAACTGGAAGCGGCGGTGCCATGCGAACCCTGACAGTGGGGCCTTCGGCAAAGCTCCCTATGGGGCCACGACGCGTGTGATGGGGTGTGCCGACATGGGGGCGGCGGTGCCATGCGACCCTTCCCACTGGGGCCTTCGGTGGAACCCCCTATGGGGCAACGCAACGTCTGAGTGGTTTGCCGAGATGGAAGCGGAGGTGCCATGCGAACCCTGCCGCTAGGGCCTATGGGACCACGAAGCGTGTGAGGGGTGTGCCGACATGGGGGCGGCGGTGCCATGCGAACCCTGCCACAGGGGTCTTCGGCGGAGCTCCTTATGGGGGAGAGAACGCGTTTCACGGGCGCTTGCTTTGGGAACATTCGGCGGCGCGTTTCGAACCGGGGGGTGGGCCCCCGCCCCAACACTCGGCGCCGTCGATCAAAACCAGGGGGACCCCCCTCCCCCCCAAACCCCCGCCCCTCGGCGCCGGCGGCGGCGGCCGCCAGCAGCGCCGACGGCGGGGACGCAGCGACGATGACCAGAGGCAGCCCAAGGGGGGGGGTTCAAACCCCCTCCCCTGGCGTCGGCCAGCAGCGCCGGCGCTGGCGCCGGCGACGGCGGGGACGCAGCGACGATAACCACCACTACCACCACCACCACTACCACCACCGCCACCGCCTCAACCCACCAACACCACCACCAACCCACCACACAACCACCACCACCACCACAGCCACCATCACCACAACCACCACCACCACAACTCACCAGCACCACCACCACCACAAAACCCACCACCACTACCACCACCACCACCACCACAATCTACCACGCCACCACCACCACCGCCGCCACCACCACCACTACCAGCAGCACAACCCACCACCACCACCACAAACCACCACACCACCACGACCACCGCCACCACCACCACCACCAGCACCACCCCCACAAACCACCGCCACCACCACAACCCACCACCACCACCACAAACCACCACCACACCGCCACCAAACCACCACCACCACAACAACCCACCACCACCACCACCAACACAAACCATCACCACACCACCACCACACCACCACCGCCACCACCACCACCACCACCACCACCACCACCACCACCACCACCACCACCACCACCACCACCACCACCACCACCACCACCACCACCACCACCACCACCACACCACCACCACACCCACCACCACCACAACCACCACCACAACAAACCACCACACCACCGCCACCACAACCACCACCACCGCCACCACCACCACCGCCACCACCACCACCACAACCCACCACCACCACCACCACCGTCGTCCTCGTCGACGCTCCCCGCCGCCGCCGCCTGCCGCCCAGGCGCCGGCGCCGGCCCAGAAAAGGAAATCGTCGTCCCCGCCGCCGCCGCCAGCCGAGGAGAGGGAGAGAGGAGAAGCAGGGGAGGGGGGGGTCCGGTTCCAACCCACCCCTCCCTCAAGCGATCACAGAACGCGCTCTTTCTTATGGGGCCACGACGCGTGTGAGTGGTGAGCCGGAATTGAGGCGGCGGTGCCGTGCGAACCCTTCCCACTTGGGCCTTCGGCGGAGCTCTATATGGGGCAACGAAACGTGTGAGAGGTGTGCCAAACTGGAGGCGGCGGTGCCATGCGAATCCTGCCACTAGGGCCTTCGCCCGAGCTCCAGGGCCACGAAGCGTTTGAGAGGTGTGCCGAAATGGATGCGGCGGTGCCATGCGAACCCTGCCACGAGGGCCTTCGGTGGAGCTACCTACGGGGCCACGAAGCGTGTGAGTGGTGTGCCGAAATTGAGGCGGCGGTGCCGTGCGAACCCTGCCACTTGGGCCTTCGGCAGAGCTCTATATGGGACCACGAAACGTATGAGGGGTGTGCCGAACTGGAGGCGGCGGTGCCATGCGAACCCTGCCAGTAGGGCCTTCGGCGGAGCTCCCTATGGGGCCATGAAAGGTGTGAGAGGTGTGCCGAAATTGAGGCGGCGATGCCATGCGAACCCTGCCACTGGGACCTTAAGTTGAGCTCCCTATGGGGCCACGACGCGTGTGAGGGGTGTGCCGACATGGAGGCGGCGGTGCCATGCGACCCCTCCCACTGGGGCCTTCGGTGGAACCCCCTATGGGGCAACGAAACGTGTGAGTGGTTTGCCGAGATGGAAGCGGCGGTGCCATGCGAACCCTGCCACTTGGGCCTTCGGCGGAACTCCCTATGGGGCAACGAGACGTGTGAGGGGCGTACCGAAGCTGATGGCGATGATGGTGATTATGACTGCGATGATGATGACGATGATGGTGATGATGACGACCATGATGGTGATGATGCTGACGGTGCTGATGATGATGATGACGATGATCGTGATGATTATGCTGACGACAATTACGATCATGATGCTGCTGATGATGATGACGATTGCGATGATGACGATGATCACGACGACGATGATAAGGATGCTGATGACGAGCACGACGATGATGACGATGACGCTGACGATGATGGCGCCGATGATGATGGCGATGCTGGGAGGAGGGAGGAGTGGGAGGAGGAGTGAAGAGGAACGCGGAGCGCTGGTATGATGATGGCGATGATGCTGATGATAACGATGCTGCTGATGACGACGGTGATGATGATTATGATGATAATGATGCTGATGATGCTGATGGTGATTATGATGATGCTGATGACGCTGATGACGCTGATCATGATGATGATGATGATGATGATGATGATGATGATGATGCTGATCTTCTGATGATGACGATGATGATGACGATGATGCTGATGCTACTGCTGATGATGTTGATGTTGTTGATGATGATCGTGATGATGATGATTATGAGGGCGACGATGACGAAGCCGATGATGATGATGCTGCTGACGATGCTGATGATGCTGCTGCTGATGATGCTGACAACGATGACGATGACAACGATGGGAGGAGGGAGGAGTGGGAGGAGGAGTGAAGAGGAACGCGGAGCGCTGTCTCTTCAAAACGAGGACCCAACACCACAGGATGGTTAGGAAAAAACTGCAAGAGCTTCGCGGATGGAGGGCGGTACCTTGTCAAAATGTGGCTCTCGCAAGAGCTCCGCGCACATTCGTCTTACGAGCTTACATCGGTTTTAAGGATTCTGATGGTTGCCGTCCCATAAATGGTGCTTTGGGCACGATGTAAGACTGGCGCAATAGGTACGTTCATTTCCGGTGTTGGATCGTCAAGACGTAACAATAACGTTGACTCGCGGCGTTGAAGTCCCAGGACCGGTGTTCTGGCACGGTCCAGGATTGTCAGACGGTTGTCTTCCAACGGGGCACTTTCCTCGGTGAAAGAGAATCCTTGGATGGACCTATGAAGAGGGAACTTTGACGAGGATTTATTGCGACATCGTTGATGGGTCTTGGGTTTACACTGGTCCTCCTCCTCCTCCTCCTCCTCCTCCTTGTTCTCTTCATCCTCCTCCTCGCTCCTCCTGGGTAGCTGGAACTGAGGTTTCGAGTCTTCCGCCCCAAGAGGACCCTCGAGACCGCCAGCTGGCGCCCAAGACAACCCTGAGAGGCCCCATGAGGCCCCCTGGAGGCTCTAAAAACGCACGTGCGAACCGATGTAGTCAGGCCCAGTGGTCCGAATGGCTTCCGCGATCGTGCGAAGCTGTCTTCCTCTTGTGGTGGCCGCCGGAATTGCGCAAGCTGCCTGAAGCTCTGCAGAGGAATATGGGCAGGCAACCTGGGTTCAGAGAGCGAGGCCTCTCGTCGCACTGTGGGCTCGTCTTTCCCCTCTCTGTGGCAGTCAGGCCGAGCGAGGATGCGGAGTGGCGGAGACGACGAATCTCACAACTTTGGATGACTGCCAAGGGCTGCGCCGCGCATGGTGGTGCCGATCTGCAGCCACGCCGTGGCCATGCCGCGGCTCTGGGGGACACCATCCCCGGAAACCTGGGAGGGGCCACTCTGTTGTCCAAGAATGCATCGGCTCTGGCTCGGGGCTCACGGAGCACGCTCTGTCCCTCCCAGGAACCCGCGAGAGCCTGGTCAACGAGCCCCAAAACGTCGTGTCCTCTAGCAGCAGCGCCACGACCAGCGGCGTGTGCGCGCTCATGCGCGCCACTTGGCTGGTGGGCACGCCCAGCCCAGGGCAGGAGAGGGGCGGCGAGTGCAGGCTGGCTCGTCCAGCCCAGGGAGCGCGGGCTCCCCGCCCAGCGCGACACCCCCCACCCACAGGGAGCTGAATCTTATTGTGAGCGCCCCGCCGACGTGCACCCCAAAAACTGCCGTGCCCTCCCAGCGGCAGCGCCCCGACCAGCGGCGCGTGCGCGCTCGTGAGCCCGCCCAGATTCACCAGCGGGCGCGGGGGGTCGGGCAGCAGCGGGGTGCCACGCCCGGCTGGAAGCCTCACGCCATCCTGGGCATCCCCTCGGGGAAGCGGGCGCGGGCCGCCGCGGCCCAGCCCGGGGCAGGAGAGGGGCGGCGCACACGAGCTGGCCCGCCCAGCCCGGCGTGGCTTAATGGGGGGGTCACAAATGGGGGGGGGGTCAGAAAAGGTCCCCCTTTCGTGCCCCTCTCGGGCCCCTCCAGAGCACCAGGGGGCTCGTTTAGGTACCGTTTGGGTACCTTTTCAAAACCACCCTCGCCATCCCCCCATTTATGTGAAGGGGCCCTGGGACACACAAATAAATCCGCACAAATAAACAGATTCCCAATATTTTCTGATATTTTCTGGGTTTTTGTCTTCCCGCCCAATTCCCATATTTTCCAATATTTTCTGGGAATCGACGAATAATTGTGTCTGTGTGTTTTTTCCCTCCTGATTATGACCCCCCCATTACGCGGCGCCCAAATGGACGCAGGCGCCCTCCGCCGGGCCCGCCCGCCCGCCCCTGGCTCCTCCCGAGGCCTGGCCGGGGGGGGGACTGGCGGCGGGCCTCTCGGAGGCCGTCCCCGCGCGCCCGCGCCCGGCGGCTCGGCCCGGGGAGGCGGAGGCCCAGAGCTCCGGCGAGTTGCTCCTGTTCTGTGGCTGCTGTTTCAGCCCGGGCGTTTTTTTTTTTTTGTTTTTTTTTTTTTTTTGTCTTTCTTTTTTGTGTTTTTTTTTGGGGGGGGTGTTTTCTCGATTTCGGCCTCACGGAAGGTGCACTCTGGTCGTACGGCTGAAATCCCCTCCTGCCTGCGGGCCGCAGCCCCTGGCCCAGGCCGAGGGGGAAGCAAACCTCTGCTGGCCACTCGTTGGGTGTGAGAGGAGGGGGCGGGGGAAGCCTCGCCCTCGCAGAGGCGGGCGCTCTGGACAGGCTGGACACTGCGCCTGCCTGTCTCGCGAGCGGCGGCCCCACAAGGGGCCCCAGCGGTGGCGCAGGCGGGAGCGGAGAAGCAGGCGTTGGCTACACGCAGGAGCGACCCTGGGCAAGAGCGACCTTTGGTACGCGGCTCTTGCGGGGCCACATCCAGGTGCGCAAACCGCTGCTGTCGCATCGCTTTCAGCTCGGGGAGCCCGAATGGGCCCGCAGGGCGTTCCGGCGAGGGGTCACTCCTGCATGTGGCGACGGCGGCCTTCGGCGTGGAAGGTGCAACTGGCACGGCGCTGTTCTCCTTCCGCGGGGGCAGCGCGGGGTCCTCCCTCGGCGGAGGCCGCGCCGCCTGCGGGCGCGGGTGGCGCGGAATGCTGCTCGTCTGCGGCCCAGGAGCAGGGGGGCCGAGCAGCCGCGCTGCAGCGCAACTCAGTCCCCATCTGGATCTCGTCCCTTTGCGCACAATGCCCACGCCAATCTCATTCGAAATATTCCGCGTCTTTCTTTCATGCCGCTCTCGCGTGCCTTGTTCAATCTGTGCTGCACGAATACGTCATTCCGTATTCGGTGGCCTGTTTTCAGTGGTGCTTCTGTTACGCTGTACACAGAACTATCACATGGCGAGTGGCGAGATGACGTACAATTCAATACAAGGTCGATGCAGCCGTCACCGTGTCGTAGGCACTGTGTGGAGTGCCCCCATGCCTCTTCGAGCTGTTTGTGTTGACGTTTTTCCCAACCCTCCTGTTCCCCTCCTCCTCCCCCCTCCTCCTGCCGCCTCCTGCGTTGCTCCCTGGGTGGCTGCGAACTGTGCAACCGTCACCACTCTCGTGGGCTCCTGGGCGGCACGGCGGAGTCGGGGAGTAAACGGATCCATTTGAAACCTCGCAGCTCCCCGGGGCTCTATGAACTGTGCAACTGTCGCCACATTTGCGGGCTCCTGGGAGGCAAGGCGGAGTCGGAGAGTAAACGGATGATTTGAAACCTCGCAGCTCCCGGAGGGGCTACGAACTGTGCAACTGTCGCCACATTTGCGGGCTCCTGGGAGGCACGGCGGAGTCGGGGAGTAAACGGATCATTTGCGACCTCGCAGCTCCCGGGGAGGCTGCGAACTGTGTTACTGTCGCCACTCTCGTGGGCTCCTGGGAGGCACGGCGGAGTCCGGGACTGAGCGGATACTTGGAAACCTCGCAGCTCCCTGGGTGGCTGCGGACTGTGCAACTGCAACTGTCGCCACTTTCGTGAGCTGCTGGGAAGAGCGGCAGAGTATGGGAGTAAACGGATGATTTGAGACCTCGTTGCTCCCTGAGTGGCTGCGAACTGT